ATGCAGAAGGGAGACCTCTCATGTTTTAAATAACAAGCTGCACAGACAATTGAACCATTGCCCGGTTCCTGGGCTGTATCTTTACTCACTTGAATAATGTGGTCATAAACCATCGAGTTTTGGTGATAGTGTTGCCTGAGCAGCTTCATTACATCTTGCATCATCACCTACAGAACAATCATAGCACAAAGCAGGCTGTTACCATGCGGTAAGGCAAACACTGGAAATTTTTGTTTCTCATATTGGATCAATCAGTAATGGGGAAGTCACTCATTTCAGGCTTTGGAGAAAGGTCTCATAAAAGCAGCACAGGGCTGGAAAATGCTTTCTTCACCCATATATGTGTTTAATCCAGCTGGCCAATTCAGATATGCAGTGTATGGCTGTGTGTCATGGGACACAGAATAATTTAATTTTGGAAGGCACCCACAAGGATCCTCAAGTCCAGCTCCCTGCTTCTCCATGGAATAGCTAAACTCTTAGAGAGAAAGACCTGTTTTTTATCCAGTGCTGCTCTCATACCTAGGATTGCTAGAGCTTGGCCCCAGACCTCTCAGCTCAGAGGTTATCCCCAGTGTCACTGCTGACATATTTTGAGCAGTGTCTTTAGCAGATACAAAGTTCTAAATGAAATGGCAGGTGCCAATGGCCCTTTTACAGGCCATATAAGGTGCTTTTACAGGCCTTTTACAGAAACATAAAATACCTTGGTCAAAAGTATTTTTACCTTATTCGAAGGTGGAATGTAAAGAACTTTAAGTATGTCCTCTCTTCTCTGTTGTATATCTTTTTCACAGGCATCAAACACCTTCTGCAGTGCAGAAACAACAACTGATTGCAGCATCAATCACATTGAAACCGCAGGTGTAGTGTGCAAAGCTGAGAAAACATCTGCATTAAATTGTAGGGCTGCTAATTGATTGAAACATGTCTTCAATAACAACAACAAACTGTTTCATCCAGCTGCTTGCATGTTGGAACCCATTCTTCAGCATCTGTGGGGCCTTATCATCACAGTCAATGCTAATAATGGCCTCCTCTCAGTCTTGTCCTTTAAGGTAATACCACTTCGGTGTTTTCCTTTAGATCTCTCCAGCATCACAGCAGTGAGTCAGACATCAAAATGAGGTCTCCCAGCTATCAGTTCAAGCACTAACATAAGGAAAGTTGATTGTTTTCCCACTTGTGCTTAACACCTGTGAGAGATGGGACTAGTATTTGAGTGTGCCCTTCTGAAAGGCAGGAGGAAGAAGGTCATTGTCACTTTGATGTCTACAGCATTCCATAGGCCCTGCTGGGCTGGAAAATCAGAGACCCAAACTTAGGCCCCAACCCTGTCTGGTACAGAAATACAAATACTCAAGGGCTGCTATATGGCTGCACCATAATTGATGTGATAAGGATCAGATGGAGAAAATGGACTTGAACAAACCCTGATGGCCTCACTGCCTTCTTCATAGGTCCAGCGGTGGGGCATGGAGCACCTGACTTTCTCCCATTCCTGCAGCCGGAGCATCTCGTATCTCTCCAGCACAGCAGACAAACGCGAGGGGTCATTGATGTCCTCAGAGTGCTGGTGCATGGCCATCACTTTAGCCAACAGCTTTTGGATTCTAGGTCAAGGAGGATATTAAAAAACATATCTAAGTCATGATGAAATAATGAGCAAATGTAAATATTGTACTTATGAAACTGTTTAATGTTTTCTACAATGCACTTCTCATTTGTATTATATAGTGGGCAAGCAGCTTTTTTGTGGAAAACAGTGCTTTCTCAGCTCAGTTTTGCGTGATCATTGTAGGACCTGATCAGAGTGGCATCTTGACTATGTCATTGTAGACTGGTTTCTTTTACTCTTTATTTAACTGGTTACCCCAACTGTCTTCTTCCCTTTGCAGAATGTCTTCCCTTTGCAGAACAACCCAAGCCGTCTCCCAGAGTCAGTTACAAAGAGATGCTGGCAGGTTGAAAGTCTGGACAGAAGGTGTCTGGGATGTCTGGTCAGAAATAGAGTCCCCAAGGACTGGAGGAAGCAAGAAGCATGTGGCTTTTCAGTGTAGAAACACACACTATGTCTGAAATATGAATAAATGCCTTACCTTCCCTCTAGCTTTTCGTTCTTCTCTTTCAGCATCTCAATTTCTTCATTCTCCTCATGCAGTAATTGAATTACCTTTTTAGGAAGTGCTCTGAAACAGATTTGGGAAATCTCTTTATATGTACTTGGACGCTGGCACAACAGTGGACATGCCCCTGTTGAATAATCTGAGTTCAAGGAAAAAAGCTCTGAGGTGGGAAAGTGCAAGAGCATCCAGGAAAACTCCAGGGGAGCTGAACACCTCCCCTAATAGCTCCCACCCAGAATTTATGCTCAAATCAAGTGGGAAGCTGTTTACATCAGAAGAAATAGAGGTGTGGTTGTGAGGATCATACTGATTTTCCCCTCTTACACTGATTATTAATGTAAAGAATCACAATATTTATTGTGACTATTCAGAAGGTGACGTAGAGTATCAACAGTGTCAGACAAATTTCTGTTCTCATTGTCCATCCATCCATAAGGGAATGAAAGAAACAATAAACCACATTGCAATTAGTGGGTAAGTATGCAATAAAGTCTTAAAAAATGCACAACTAAACTTCTCCCCTCCAATTTCTGATTAGCCCATAGGGAAAAGAAATTTAGAGGCCAAAACTTGTCAAGGCTGTTCTTTGCCAGGTGCATGGTATGTGACTCTGTGAGTCAATACCAACAGTTCAAATGAAATACCCAAAGTGTAAGATTTGCACATTACATGGTGCAAATCCAACAGCTTCTGTAAATTGGCTCTGGGTTCCCAGTATAGCCTGGGCAAAATTTGTTTTGCAGAGCCCTCCCTGTGTCTGGCTCATTTTCTGTCCCACCCGCCCTAGAGTGCACCAGCTACAGTTCATTGTCAGAGGCCACACTAAACAGTGTCATTTTTGGTCACTGGACTCTCACATTATGTTATTCTTCAACTTTTTCATGATTTCAAATATTTACTTTATGTTCTTGTCCATCTCTTTGATCATTTCAAACATCTTCATGTTAGAAGCCTGGTCTCCATAGGCTGATGGCTGCTGTGAGGTGTCAGATATATGTCTGAGGAAAAAAAGAAAAGGGAATTCTTATAATGAAGTGGGGTAAGAACACATCCTCAAAAAAAGTACTTTATAATTGCCAGTCCTGTGAGCAGAGCCTTCATGGCTACATCCATGCCAGCAAAAGGATCAGAGACAGGACAAAGGGCACACGGGTGCAGATGTGGCACAAGTGAGTCAGCACTCTCCCAGATAATGCCTGATACAGCTCAGAGGACTCCACAGGCTGTCTGTCTTAGCCAAGACTAAACTACTGTAACTTTTTCTACTTTCAGACTTTGCAGCTGCAGCTAGCTCTAAGTTTTCTGTTCTTCCTGTTTCTAAGGCTTGCTTTTAAGGCTTTCTAGAAATCTTACTTTAACTGTTTCCCACACCAAGGTATGCCAAAACCAAGAGGGTTTGACTAATCGTTAGGTCTGGATAAAGTGGGCAAGATACAAGGACAGCTCCTGAAAAACAAACTCAACCCAGACCTGCAGAGAGTGGACGAACAGCAAATGCAGGTGATTGTTCTGCTAAAACCAACTTTGAAATGTATGTTTTTTTTTAACCGAGGAGTACAAAGCTCTGTGTTCTCAAGGTATTTTTTTTTTATTTATACAACTGCTGTGTCCTGTTTCCTCAGGAGGATCCCAAATATCAACTATTATTAGAGAAATAGTCCCAGATTAAGGTGGTCCTGCAGCCTGGATCCAGGCAGAACAGAGAGCAAGCTCATCCCCACAACCAGATGCCAAAGCAAGCCTTAGCATGAGGCTTTACCTTTGGTTTATGCCAAAAAACCTGCTGCCCCTCTCAGCATTACTCCTTCCCACTGAAGCACATTTTGGTTTTGTTTACTTGGATTTATTCCTTTCCAGTTAAATCACTTCGCTTTCAGTCTTTCACTGAAGACACAAGCTTTTTCTTTAAGCTAAACAATCCAATAAAAAATTTACATTTTAGTCCACCTTTCCCTGCAAAATTGATGAGCTCAGAGTCAGAGCCATGAACTCCCAGATTTTGTCACACTCTTTATACTGATATTTCTAGTTTCTGTTTCTCTTGCACCAATTTAAGATCTGCCTCCCACTTTCGAGTTGAACTTGAGCAGAATTTGGGGACAGTAACGATCTCTGTGATGGCTAGAAAAGTTAGAAAGTAGAAAACAGAGCTCTTACTGAATATTTCACAGTCAGAAAATGTTTGCAATTCAGCAACCCTCATGCAACCCTCCAAGAAACTTTGTAGAAATACTCAGACCTAGGAAGATTAAATAAGATAATCCAGAGATATCTCCTTGTGTAACCTACCTGCTGCCTTCTGCAGTTGTCTTTCTGGGATCAGTATCCTCACACTGTCTTTCCAATACCTCTCTTCCTCTGTTGCCAGAAACTTTGTGTGGATGCCATGATTCTGTTCCTCTGGAGCCAGAAACGTTGGATGTACACCACACTTCTCTGCTGGAGCCAGAATCACTGGGTGTACACCACACATCTTCTTTGCTGGAGTCAGAAATATCAGCTGTATCCGGCACTTCTGCTGTTCTGTAACCAAAACAATTGGATTTAGAACACATTTTTCTTTTGCTGGAGCCAGAAACCTTTCATCTGTTCATGCAGAAGCAAAACGTGTTTGTTGAAATGTGTGGGCAGCACTGAGGACTGTTGATGCTGCTGGGAGTGCAGAAAGCTCCTGATAAGACAGTTCCCTAAAAAGGCACTTTGCCACTATAAAAAGCCTTGCTTTTTTTTTTTTCTTTTCTTCCTGGTTTACAGGAAAGCGTACAATTTACAGGATGTCTAGAGTCACATCTGTCCAGCCAATAAAATCAGGGGAGATTGCCCTTCTCTCTGCAATATCAGACCTTTCAGTTTCATTTCAGTCCAGTCCCTGTTCATGCCTCTGTGCTCCCAGAGCTGCACACCTCTGCGCTGCAGCGGCCATGGCCAGCCAGTCAGTGTTTGTTGTTGCTATAGATTTTGGCACATCCTACAGCGGGTACTGCTTTTCTCTTGCTTCGGGTACTGACCAAATCCGCCAGGTTTACTGGGGAGCAGAGCATGGCTTAAAGACCCCAAAGACACCTACGAGCATCTTGTTCAACCAGAAGCAGGAGTTCAAATATTTTGGTTATGATGCTGTGATGAAGTACAAGAGCCTGCCCTCCAGCCAAGCTGACAGCTGGTACTTCTTCCAGAACTTCAAGATGCAGCTGTACAACACGGTAGGTGGAAGAGCTACTACTAATGGGGGTTGGGGCTATTCATTTGTTTGAGGGGTGGGGGTTAGAGAATCCATGAAGTAGACTGAGAAAGTCTGGTTGATGAGAATGAATGCAAGTCAGAGAGTATTTTGATGAACAAAAGAAGAAGTTTGTTTTTTTTTTAATTGTCAGAAGCTTCCCAGGCCCTTCCTTTATGATGTTTTTTGTCTAAAGACAATAAAACGTGACTGCATACATGGGTGAAGGCAAATACCTGTTCCTAATAAAAAGCTGCCTTGTTCCCAAGCTTGACAGAGAAACTGGTCTCCCTCTGGGGACTCCCTACCTTAGTCCTCAACAAGAAACATGGATCAAGTGAAATTTCCGGTAATTCAAAGGAGATTGGCAGTTTTGGGATTGCCTAAAATCTCATCCCAAGTTATACAGCTCCCCCTGGCTTGTCTCTCCCTCCCTTGAAATGTTATGCTGAAGCTAATGTAAGGATGTCCAGCTGTCCTTGAAGCCTGCAGTGGCTTTATCAAATTTCTCTCTGAAGGCTCTGTGTTGGTTTAGAATAGCTCACAGCTTTATCTGTGTGTGCTTGTTCAGCCAAACACCAGACTACCCTAGGGCTCCTGGGTCCCACAGGGCCTCTCAAGCATAGAATAAGCCAGAGCACAAGGCCAGTCCCAGCAAAAGCCTCAGGTCCTCTCTTTGGTGGATGGGAGGCCTCTTTGAAGATTTTCCTCCCCAGGACAGCTGGGAATGATGTGGTCTGTCACAAGGTTGGTTCTCATTCACTTTCAGCAGGGGCTGGAGGGAGGTTTTAGTTCAGAACTATTTCTCTGCATCTGAGGAGCAAATGGTGAAGAAAAATTTCATTACAGAATTACTCCCTGCTGGCTCTTCAGGATATCCTATAGATATCCTGGATATAGGATATAGGATCCACAGCGTCTTTACAAAATTTGGCCTAGGAGAAACGGCTGAATTATCAACCACATTGACATTTTGCCTTCTGAATCACAGGAGTGGTGGGTGAGCAGTTTGGTAGCTGACCTGTGCCACTTGGACTCAGCCACAGTAGTGAAGCCAGTGCTGGGAGTTTGGTTTGGAGACAGGGGTGTCTGGGTGCCTTAGGTAGTGCAGTGTTGGTGTGAAGGGGACAGGTCCCATACCGACCCTGCACCATATGACCCTGGGCCTTTTTTTTGGTAGAATATCACAGCTGGCATGAAGCTGAAAGCCACCAATGGAAAGTTCCTTCCTGCCTTGACAGTCTTTTCCGAAAGCCTGCGCTTCATGAAGGAACATGCTTTGAACACCATCAAGGAGGCCTCTTCCCAAACTGTCTACGACCAGGAGGAGTTCACCTGGGTCATTACTGTTCCGGCCATATGGAGCGCTGCTGCCAAGCAGTTCATGAGACTGGCAGCAAAAGAGGTAAAAGCAGGGGTTACCCCATTTCCTCAAATTACCTTTGGAGCTTCCTTTGCCCAGTTGAACCACAGGAGCTCCTCAATATGTAAGCAACCTGTATTTCAAATTCCAGCCCATTGGGCTGAGAAATCTTTCACATTGAGCGTGGTGAGGGAGAGGATGTCCCCAAATGGCAGTACAACAGCTTTGCCCTCTCTCCCCACCACCGAGTAGAAGTGAGCCCCATAGAGATCAGCAGTGCAAGAGCCACCACCCTTGCATGAACTGCTAGGGTGAGAACAGACTCCCTTGCAGGTGGTGTTCATGCAGCAGTAATCTCACCCCCTTTCCTTGACCTGACTCCTCTCTTTTGTGATTTTAGGCAGGAATTATCTCTGATATGCTCTCTAGGAACCTGATCATTGCCTTGGAGCCGGAAGCTGCATCGCTGTGGTGCAAGCAGCTTCCACATGAAGGGTTTATGGCAGACAGCAGTGACAAGAAGAAGTTTGAAGACTCCCCTGGGATCCGGTATATTGTTGTTGACTGTGGAGGTAAAATTTTCCCTGTTCAACACGTACCATCTTTGCTGGGTGTGATGCATGGCTATTTCACAATAGGTGAAGGTCTCAGAGCTTGGACTCCACTGCTGTGCTTGTCATAGAGTTTTAAATGTTATTTCTCACCCAATGAGATCCTGTGAGCAGGCAGAAGAATAGGAGGGAAGAACAGGGTTGTGTCTCACACTGAAGAGCTCTTCAGTCAAACACGAGGCCCTGCCCTCACAGCAGATCAGCCAGCATGGTGTCCCAGCATCAGCCACTGGCTCCTGTGTAGCCTGAGCTCACAGCCTCCTCTCCAGAAGCAACTGTAGTTAGTGCCCAGTCAAGTGACCAAAGAGAAGAGCTAGCAGACACTGGAGAGTAAATCATTAAGAATATTTGATGAAGCACTTTGCAGTAATTTCTCTAGATTCCTGAGGTTTTTTGGTGTGATGAGAATTTTCTGCCAAGAGCAGTCCGGTGCTTGTGAACAAATACCGAAAAGGCATCAAGAGGACCACAAGTTCCTGAGAGTCTTCTCACCACTGCTCAAGAGTCAACCACCTATGTGAGGAGGCCAGGCTCGCTTTGTGATCAGACAGGAGATTGGCTTGTTCAGTGAGCAAGCTGGAGCATTCAGCTCTTATCAGAAATAACTGTAGGAGCCTCGTGAGACCAGGCTTTTAAACAAAAGTGCAGAAATTTAAGAAATCTAGAGAAGCACAGGCAATAGCAGAAGGGGGAGGATGAGGAAAGAAAGCAGGAGAAAAGCACATCTGTGAATCGGGAATTCAGAAGATAAGACTGAATTCCGTGGAAACTTGTGCGCTTTAAAGCAAACAGCACAATTAATTTGAGTCTCTGTCTCTGTGTGTGTGTTTGCACATGTAGGTGGCACCATAGACATCACAGTACACGAGATCCAAGAAAACCATTCCCTAAAGGAGCTACATAAGGCAAGTGGAGGTGGATGGGGAGGCAACAGAGTGGATGAAAACTTCACCAATTTCCTCAAGGAAATATTCAATGATGGTGTATGGGATGAATATGTGAAGAAGTACCCTACTGAATTACAAAATATGATGTACAACTTCAGCTTACAGAAATGCTCTGCTAGTAGGGAGGCAGTCTACATACGCTGCTACTACAACCTGACCAGAGTGGCAGAGTCCAAGAAGGACATTTCCCAATTCTTTAAAAATGCAGCAGGAGCTGTGTGGTGTGATGGGACAATCATGATTACATATGAGAAAATTAAGTGCTTGTTTGACTACAGTATCAACAATATAATTTTTGCTTTGAGGGAAATTCTTTGCAGACCTGAGATGGACAAAGTCCAGTACATTTTACTTGTGGGAGGCTTTGCGTGCAGCATTATCCTGCAAGATGCAGTGAGGCAGGCCTTTAGCAGCAAGTGTCATATCCTTTGTCCCATGGAGGCCCAGGCAGCCATTGCAAAAGGGGCTGTTTTATTTGGAGTTAATCCACACATCATTACCTCAAGAATCAGCTGTAGGACATATGGCTTAAGAGTAGGTAAGAAATTTGATGAGGCTATCCATGATGCCCGTAAACGGAAGGTCTCAAAAGCTGGTGACTTTATTTATTGCACAGATCTCTTCTATAAACTGGTGGAAATTGGGGAGTCAGTGAACATAGACGAAGCTGCGCACTTTGATTTCTTTCCAATTGAACCAGATCAAACAGGGGTAACCTTTGCTTTCTATTGTACAAAAAAACAGAATGCTCAGTATGTGGATGAGGAAGGGGTAGAACTGCTTGGCTCCTGTGTAGTGCCATCACCAGCCACATGGCTGGGGTTAAAGCGCAGGCTGAAAATTGAGATTCAGTTTGGGCTCACTGAATTTAAAGCCACATGTACTGATGTTACTTCCCAAAAAAGTCAGACAGTTATAATAGATTTTTTATCTTATAATTACTCATCATATTGAACAGATCTTAGATGCCTTTTCCAACCATTATGATTCTGACAATTCTATGACTTTTACCATAGAGGAGACAATTGGACCAGTAAGTTCATCATTCAACTTTCCTTTTACGCAGTAAAACTACTAGTCTGATTCTCTGGTTCCTTCCATTCCTCACCCTTTCAGTCCAACACTTTATTTTCTCTTGTATCTGACAGCAGGTTTTCCTGCTGGTTTATCTTATGCCCTTTTAGCTTGTGTCTCTGAACACAATAGTCCATACCATCAATACAGTCATCTGTGACCTACCTGTGTTTGATGGAAAGCCTCTGGCCTGGTGTCTAACTTCCACATAAAGCAGCCCATAGCTGTTTATTTTAGCCTGATGTCTTCTTGCAGCTACATCTTCTCTTTCTCTGACATCAGAGTCCAGGTTTAGTTCTGCTGGGGGTGATATTTAGTGGATTTCTGTTTTCTTCAGAATATGATTTATATAAACTCTATGTAATTAAAGCTCCAGTGTCCCAGACAAAGGAGTTGAGTGAACCAGTCTAGGGGCTTGTGTCCAAAACCTGTGGGAGTCCTGTTTCCATTAAATGATTGGGTGGTTCAATCTCATCAATTGAGCAGATATAAATGTCAGTTGTAATATTACAGATATGAATAGTGCACATGCTGCTGCCTGATGCTTCTGTGCAGCCCTGGTACTCTGAATCTCTGATTTGAGCATGATATTTTCTATATCTGTTAAAGCTGATCTCTTTCCTCCTGCCTGCAGCACCTGTGCACAAGTTGAGCACTACGAAGGCTTCATGAGCCTAAATTTGTCCACAAAACAGATGCAGTCCTGGAGTGTGCTGTGTCTGGCTGAGGTGCAGTGAACTTTCTTCATAGCAACCCTATGTTGGTGTGTGCTTTGGGTCCAGAATGATGCTGATAGCACACTGATGGTTTGGGGTGGGCTGGTGTTGCAGTGTGATGCCATTTCCTGTTTTAGCTATCCCAGCCGTTTCCCAGGTGTGGCAATACCTTCTCCCTTCGCCTCCCCCTTCCCCCCTTGCTAAGTGCTGTCAGTCAATCTTAACCTTCCAGCAAGGTCGTCATCTGGTTGGTGCAGTTCAAAAGATGCCCCTCAGCCCTGGGGTCATTGGCCTGTCTAGGTGTCATTGTCCCCTGAGTATTCCCCCACTCCCACCTGGTTGGTGGCTCACCTACCCCTTCCCCTCCCCCTTTCCCCGGGCTTAAAAGGACACTGAGACCATGCGGTCGGGATTCTGCTGCAGCTGTTACAAGATTCAGATGTCTGTGACCCTGGAATAAAACTCTGGATTAAACCCTGCGGCAGAATCCATCTCCTTTTCCTCTTCACCTCGCCTAAAGCCCTTCCACCAGAGGTAACACTGAGTCCTTGCAAGCCTGGACTTATTCCAGTGCCTAGCTGCACCATCCAGCCAGCCAAAGGTGTCTCTGAGGTGAAATACCACAGCTGCTGCCTTTGGTTCAGCAGCAAGGGTCAGACGAGCCCAGGGATGTTCCATCTGGTAATATTGGGATCTTATTCCAGTAGGCTGGGGTTTGTGGAGTTGGCTTTCTTCCCCTTTACCGAGGATGTAAAGTTTCTCTGCTGAACACCAGCCTCCACCAATGCCAATTCTTGTTTTGCTGGATACAGTGCAAGAAAACTCAGCCCTGTCATCCTTATTAGTTGAATGATCACGTTAGAGTCACTGCTGGCCATGTATTGAATGGTGTTAATTGTGAGAGCAGCACTCAGAGAACTAACCTACATATATGCTACGCCGTATGATATATAAAAGTGAAATGATTTTGAAATTTTAAATGTTAAATTTAAAATGTATATGCGTGCAATAAAAATATTCACAACAGACATCTGTGTGCATTTCTACCAGGTCAGGTGGTACCACTCAGAACACGTCATAAGGGCTATTCTGGGGGCTAGGTCCCAAGAAGCTGAGTAATCCTGCTTTTTGTTACTCTTTGCATTTGGTATTTTCACCAGTGGAAAGCCCAACATGGCTCCACCCGAGCTCACCAAGACCCTGGAATGGGAAGAGAAGTATGGTCTGGGACAGTGGCAGTGGGGAAAGCCCACCATGTGCTAGGTGGGCTTTGGGATTCAGACATTGACACCAACAGATGTGACTGCAGCTCCTAGTTTTGCTTGTTTTGATGAGCTGATTATGTTGATAACCTCAGACACTGAGCATGAGCAGATGCAGGTGTTTGTCCTTTCTGTGAAAGCAGCACTGTGTCAGGGTCTTGGGCTAAGCATCCCTGAAACCTGGCAATGTGGGGGGCTCCACCCTCAGCCTGACACCACCATGGGAGTTGGGAAAAGAAGAGTTACAGCTGCTGAGCCCCTGGCAGCCATCCTCCGAAACAGGTGTGTCTGCTGAGCTGGGGATCAACCCCGCTGAACAACAAATAGGGTGTTTATGCTAAAAATCACAGAATCAGATGCCCAAGTTTCAAGGATAAGAAAAGACTCTGAGGTTTGCAGTGCCTGTAACCAGGACATCAATGAGCTCCAGAGGTGTGATGGCTGCTGGATCTTAAATAGCTGGGTGAGTAGACGGTGCCACCCATTTCTGTGGCTGGGTCTTGCCAGTTGCTTTCTACCTAAAGCACGTGATTTCTTGGAAACTGAGAGAAAGCAACCCCCCTCTGCAGTACTGACACTACTTCCTGGCAGCAAAGTGGGAGGCACATCCTCTTTTCCCCCTGCTGGGGACAGAGAGAGGAACAGCTTTGTCACAGCCCAAACACCATGGCTGTGATTTCTACTCCAGATTTCCCAGCGCCATCTGGCTCACCCTGCTTGCTTGATGTCAGAGGAAATGAAAGATTCACAAAAAGTTCTCAGTAACTATAAGTTAGCCTTGAAACCATGACAGTGGGGTGCTGGAGCAATGGAACCATGAAGAGACCCTAGGAACAGAATGCTATAAATCCTTATGTCCTTGACAAGTAATGGTTAAAACAGATTCAAGCAGAAACTGCAACAGAGGTTTAACAAAATAAAATTAAATGATAACTTACCAACAGGTGATAGAATGTAAAGACAACCTCAAGTTACCTTAGATAATTATAATGCTAAAGAACACATCCCCAGGGGAATTTGTGTGTGGAAATGGTAGGATAATGAACTGGACTGAGATCAGCACATGCACATCAACAATTTTGTTACACAAGCATGAGTGACCAATCTCCTGTTTCTATATGAATTGGTTTTGGTTACCTTTTTGTAAAAAGGACTGTGCTTGTTCTCCAAACAGTTGGAAAAGGCCTGGGCTGGCACCCTGTTCTTCAGATTTGTGATAAAATCATATCTTGACTCAATGTGTTGATTTGCTCTTGCACACAAGGATTCCTTTCTCTAGGGATAACATCCAGAGGAACCCTCACCCCTGTTAGAAAATATGTCTCTTCATGCAATAGAAATTATGCTTGAGAGGATTCACTACCTTTGGCGTAATAAACAAAACAAACCACAGGAGAGGAAAAAGAAATAAACCAAGCACTCATCCTTTTGCTCACATGTGGGGAGGTATCAGCAATGACTTCATGATTAAACAGCACATTTTCCATAGCTTTTCCATTTCCAGGCCAAAATAAATGGGTTTCTGAAGCTTTTTTGTTTCAATTGCTAGAGATTGCTGAGATGTTGCATAAATGTATATAGCCCTGTTAGAGGTGTCAAAACTTTGTGAGGGATTATTGTGTTCATTTTACAAGGACTTGGCAAATCATGCAAGGGGAAAATAGAAGATAATTTTACAAACCAGTAAAAGTAACACCAGAGGATGGAAGAACAGAAAAGCATGTCACAGAGAGAGCATGGTGATGTGCTTGAGGGAAGATGTCATTGCTTTGTCTGGTCAGGGATTGCCCTGTGCTGCTGACACCTGCTTGGTCACAGACAAAATTGTCACCCTGGCCCCAGAACTGGGCCCACCAAGTAAGATAAGTGTGCCTTCATGGAAATGTGTCTAAGAAAGGGCAGGGAACACTGAAGAGGGAGAGACAAGTTCAGGGCAGGTACAGTATCCAACAGGATGATGACCAGTGGAAGAGCCCATGCTGGAGCAGGTGAGTAGGACACAAGGAGCAGCAAGAGCAAGGGACTCCCACACACCAAGCCCAGCTCCTGCACCACCCATGGCCTCACCAAAAGGTCTGGTTGTAACCTGCAGCATGGGGTGGGGAAACAGGACAGGGGGAAGTGAGGCATCTAAGTGTTGGTTGGCTGTTTTTGTTACTTGGCAATAAAGCAATTGGATTGAAATTTCTCAACTCAAAATAGGTATTTTTGGCCCATGACAAGATGTCTGACTATATATCAAGGGAGGAGCATGTTCATACTGCAGTGTCCCAGAGGAGAATGGGGGAAAGCAGAGGAGAAGTCTACTAGGGCAGAATGTTTTGGATTGGAAGGGACTTTAAAGATCATCCAGTTCCAACCCCCTTGCCATGGGCAGGGACACCTTCCACTAGACCAAGTAGCTCAAAGTCCCCTCTAGCCTAGTCTGGAACTCTTCCAGGTATGGGGCACCCACAGATGCTTTGCAGCTTTCTACCAGACTGCTCTTTGTTTGCTGTGTGGTAAAAAGGGAGAGGGAGGCAAGAGGGGACAGATTTCATTGAGGTCATTTGAGGCCTCCCTCAGCAGCAGTGGGACATAACCATCACCAAGACCAATCAGTCTCTGTGAGTTTGCATCCAGCACTTTCCTTCTGCCCTGGGGTATCAGGCTGGTTTTTCTTGACATGCTGCATATTTTCCCCTCACACCTGTTCCTTCCCTCCTCTAAACCATCCCAAACAATATGAGGTTTTGTCTGCCCTCAGCATCCAGCAGCAGTTTCTCAAGCCCCTTAGCCCTTATTTTGCGTGCGTGCCCTGGAGTTAACCAGAACATTCCTGCCAGAGGTTAAGCCCAGGCATTGCATGGATAATCCGTGAAAACTTTTTGCCTCCAGTTCCAAGTGACTGTGACTGTAACAAGTGCAGAGATGCTGTCTGCAGCTCCACTCTGGCCCTTCTTCCACCCCTTTCTCTGTCTCCCAGGCAGTCAGAGCTCAGAGACAGGACAGAGATCCCAGCTGCCAGCCAAGAGGGCTAGGAAAGTGAAATGGCTCTGCTCC